TTTAGGGTTTAGGGTTTTATGGGCTACTATAAGGTTTGTAAGGTTCTTTGAAGGGTTACTATTAGGGTTATTATAAGGGTTCTATAAGGGTTTAGGGTATAGGGGCCATAATTATTACCATAATCATAGGGTTTAGGGTTTGGGGGCTTCAATAATTACCTATAATATTTTGCGGGGGGGTTCCTCACTAAACCCCGAAACCCCTGAACCCCTAAACCTTAGGGTTCTTTAAAGGGTTAAAATAAGGGTTATTATAAGGATTCTATACGGGTTAGGGTATAGGCGGTATAGGGGCCTGAAGCATTACTTATATTATTCTGAAGGGGGTTCCTTACTATAAAAAAACGGAAAATGGGCCCCAAAGCCCTAGTCTAATCATTAAGGCCCCTAGATTACTCAACATGTGCGGCTTAGCGGTTGTGTGTGCACCTGTACCAGGCAGGAGCTGCGAAAGACCTATTATGGGAGCTAGGATTAGGGGGACCCTTGGGGATATAGACCCTCTCAATAAGGTCCCTTTTAAGAGAGCCAAAAGTAGGGTTCAGAAGGGGTACCCTTTAAGGGGTACCCCGAATAATATTACCTATATTAGGAGCCGCGAAGCCCAGTATCTGCAACCTTGGGATCCAAAAACCTACCAATTTTTTAAGGGTTCTACCCTCTAAGTACACGGTTTAGGGTTTAGAGTTTAGGGTTTAGGGTTTAGGGCTTAAGTAAGGGGTCATAACCTACTATTTTGTAGGAAATCTTGTACGAGCCTGACATTTCCGAGACTACGCGACGAAAGGGCGAGTGCCTGCCAACCCTTGCTGCTCCTTTCGACTGCTGCTTCTCCTCTTCGGTGCTTGTAGAGACTCCAAAACCCCTTAATTAAGGAATCTAGCTTAAACTATAATACGAACCCTAATAGGATTTAAGGTGTCTTCCTTAATGAAGGGATATTGGAGTCTCCGGGCTCTTTCGAGTTAGTACATCGGGGGCTTGCGAGCAGATCAGGGCCTCGGGGAAGTCTCGTGCAGGGGTTCCCATACCCCCAAAAAGGATCTAGAAAGTAGATCTCCTAAAGTGGGACCCTAACTACTAAAGGGTTCTTTATGGGAACCGCCTTAAAAGATCTACTTTTTGGGATCCTCTCGGGGGTCTGGGTTCGTTGCCTCGCGGACTCGGATCTGGAGAAAGCCAGCTTTCGTAGAGTGTTGGACGACATACACGACATCTCTGGAGTGGTTTTCTGACGAAATGCCCTAAACCCCTAAACCCCTAAACCCCTAGACCCCTCAACCCCTAAACCCCTAAACCCCTAAACCCCTAAACCCTAAACCCTAAATGACCTAAACCCTAAACCCTAAATGACTTAAACCCTAAACCCTAAATGACTTAAACCCTAAGCCCTAAATGACCTAAACCCTCAATGACCGAAATGCCCTAAACCCCTAAACCCTAAACCCCTAGACCCCTCAACCCCCAAACCCCTAAACCCCTAAACCCCTAAATCCCTAAACCCCTAAATGACCTAAATCCCTAAACCCCTAAACCCCTAAACCCTAAACCCCTAAACCCCTAAACCCTAAACGACTTAAACCCTCAATGACCGAAATGCACCAAGGATGGAGTGGAGGGATTTATCCGCGAGAAGCTGGTGCCCATGGCTCGTCGCTGAAGGCCAAAGGCCAGAATTTCCGGGCTCACGGGTTTAGGATTTTTGGGGTTTGGGGTTTAGGGTTTAGGGTTTAGGGTTTGGGGTTTGGGGTTTAGGGTTTGGGGATTAGGGTTTAGGGTTTAAGACTTTGGGTTTAGGGATTAGGATTTTTGGGTTAGGGGTTTAGGGTTTGGGGTTTAGGGTTTAGGGTTTAAGACTTTGGGTTTAGGGTTTAGGGTTTGAAGCTTTGGGTTTAGGGTTTAGGGTTTAAGGCTTTGAGTTTAGGGTTGAAGGTTGAGGGTTTAAGACTTTGGGTTTAGGGTTTAGGGTTGAGCGGTGAGTCTCAGAATGTCAGGCTTGGGGGCTGGTAGAGGTTTGAGGGTGGTGTGGTTGCATCGAGCTTGAAGAAGGGGCCATGCGCCTCACTCCCTGGACAGAACAGGGCCAAGAAGAAGCCTGCCAGGCGCTTCGCGAGGCCAGAGAACAGTGAGTGCGGCTGCGACGCGGTCCAGCACGGGTGGCGAGATATCTAATTCCCTAAGCCCTAAACCCTAAACCCTGAACCCTAAACCCTAAACCCTCTAACTCCCGAACATCCCTAACTCCCGAACAGCCCTGCTGAGAGACTGAAAGCTCGACGCAGTTCGACATGGGTAGTTGTCAAAATTATGGTCCCTTTTGGGGTACCCTAAATAATAGGTGCCGTATTATAATAAGGACCCAAAATGGACCATAATTTTGACAACCACCCTTATGCTTCGTCGTTGCAAAGTTCTCGAAGATCGGCCATCCCGGGCTTGCGAGCTCGGAACTGACAAGGGTTCCCTGCTTCTGTGCACGACTCTGTTAATGCACCTTTCCTCGTGAGTGCACAGAACTTTGCAGAAGAGCGAACTACCTATCTAAGGTTGAAACCATGGGCCTCTAGTACGGGCCTTTAACCCTGGGATCCCTATACACCTACTATATACCCTATATGTACCCTTAAGGGTCCCTAGAAAGGCCTAAGGGTCCTTATTAGGGGCCTCCTAAACCCCAAACCCCTAAACCCCTAAACCCTGAACCCTAATATTCGCCCATTGGTTCAACCTTTTAGAATGCCAGGTGCCATACTTCCCTAGAAAGGCCTAAGGGTCCATAGTAGGGGTCCATACTTCCCTAAACCCTAAACCCCTAAACCCCTAAACCCCTTAACCCCTAAACCCAAAGCCCTAAACCCTAAGCCCTAAACCCTAAACCCCTAAACCCTAAACCCTAAACCGCTAAACCCTGAACCCTAAACCCGAAACCCTAAACCGCTAACCTTAGAACCTGTGACTTCAAGCAGATCATCTGACCAAGGGTCTGTCCACGGCTGCGAGGCCTGCATGCTGGACGAATGTGGGAGTTTCCGAAAATCAGGGTGCCGTACTATATTGGGGACCCAAAAAGGGACCCTAATTTAGAGAACTACCCATATAGTGGCCTTGATATGGGAGTTTCCGAAAATTAGGGGTACCTTATTTTGGGGATCCTTATAATAAGGATCCTACTATTTAGGGTACTATAATAGGGTCCCCTATTTTCGGAAACCCCCATGTAAGCAGACAAAACCTCGTGTCTAAGATAGGGGCCTAAATCATTACCTACATATTTGTTTTTTGGGGGAGGGGGTCCTTATATTCATTATTTTATGATGGGCCCCAAAACCATAGTCTAATTATTAAGGCCCCTGCAGTAGACTGCTTGCTTGGATACCGCCTGTCTCCAGTTCTCCTTCCTTCCCTCTCGTGCTTCGTGCCCTTTGTCTGCCGCGGTCCACAGGCATGTACAAAGTGTTGCCTTCGCCAAAGACTTCGAAATTTGCGAGGACCTTCGAAAACGCTTGGATAGATTTGGACTGGAGCTACAGGGCCGGCCCAGAGCTGATCTCTAAGCCCCTGCCTTGCCCAGGCTTTAAAGGGAGAGGAGGGATCATACCGCCCTTATCCACTGAAACCCTCGCGGCTTCGAAGTCTTCATCCTCTAAGTGATGGCTTCAGCTCCTCAGCAGGGCGCTTGAAATCCCACGACTCAGCGGGAAGGCGAAGATACCTTGAACCCAAAACCCCAAGCATTTGCACCTCTGACGACTCGCTACGAGAGCCCTGCGATGGAGTTTCCCCCTCCGGAGCCGGGCGAACATCACCCGAAGCTCCGGAGAAGCGCCCTTTTTGGGGCTTGCAGTGATTCCGAAAAATTAAAGAAAGAAGAGCATGCACAAAATCGCAGCAGTCCAAGAGCACTTTCACCCGCCTTGAGCCTCTCTCTCTCTCACTGCAATTCGCGTCGATCTGTCTTTCTGTGATTGCTCTTGAGGAGGCATCTGATACGCCGCCGCCTCTGCAGCATTCTGGGGTGGACTCCTCTGCTGTCGCCAGTCGCATCATCTGGGAATCGCTTTGAGCTCCGGAAAGGCCCTCTGACCTGTCTGCGTGTACCTTGACGTGCTCCCTTTTGGGTCCAGAATATAGTACGGCACCCCTATTAAAAGGGCCCAAAAAGTGACCTACTTTGGAGAACTACCGAAATCAAGGTCTCGTTGTACAACACTTTTTTGTCGATTCCTGCGAGCCTCGAGCTCCTGCTTGCGGTAGCAGCTGACATGAGTCCTGGCGATTCTAAACCAGTAATTACAATGCCCATGCCTGAAGAGATGCAAAGCCACAAAAGTGGGGAGAGATCTAGCGTAAAGTCCCAATTCAACCAGATATGTATCCTGACAAGAACTGATCTGTCCCTTTCAGCACAGCTCCCCTGGAACCTTTATGAAGCAATATTTTGCGGTCCTTATAATAGGGATCCTACTATTTAGGGTACTATATTAGTTCGGAAACCCCCTTAGGTTTATGAATTTAGGGTTTAGGGTTTAGGGTCTAGGACGCAGGGTAGAGTCTAGAGAGCACCATGCACGTCCCGTGGATGAACACCAGCACGAGCCGCCTGGGGCCTAGCGATCTTCTGCACCTTCGAACCTTAGCCTTCTTTTTTGTGGAGGGGGGGTTCCTTCAAGTTTGTATAGGGTTTGGGGTTTAGGGTTTTTTTGAGGGGGGGTTCAGGGTTTAGGGTGGAGGGTTTAGGGTTTAGGGTTCTTCAAGTTTGTATGTCTGGTAGGACAAAGCCGTCACGGTTGGAAGGGGTTCTGAGCTGTGCTTGGAACCATCGCAGCTGGCTCCCACATGGGGGTTTCCGACAGGTACGCTTTGTGCGGGTCCTTGACTCGTGTCGTCCAGTTTGGCTTGCCGACGGCATGTACGTACCCGTAAAACCCCCTCATCCCCGAAAGCCCCAAATCCTACCCGTGAACCCTGTGCCCTGAACTCGATACCCTTAGCCCCAAAAGCCCCAAATCATAGCTGTGAATCCTGTGCCCTAAACCCTAATTAAACAATTAACAAGCCCCAAATCCCGTAAACCTTAAATCCACACACCCTACTTATCAAGCCCCCTACATGAATATAGAAGCCTAAATAATTGCCTATACTATGTTGGGGCTTCCGTATCATACGTATAGTATAATTACCCTAAACCCTAAACCCTAAACCCTAAACCCTAGTATAGTAAACCCTAAACCCTAAACCCTAAACCCTAAACCCTAGGATAGTAAACCCTAAACCCTAGTAAAGTAAACCCTAAACCCTAAACCCTAAACCCTAAACCCTAAACCCTAAACCCTAAACCCTAGTATAGTAAACCCTAAACCCTAAACCCTAAACCCTAAACCCTAGTATAGTAAACCCTAAACCCTAAACCCTAAACCCCAGGATAGTAAAATTATACCCCCCCCAGTTCCGTACTTGGCGGCCAAAAACTC